TGTAAACAGGCCCTCAAGGATAGCGTTCGTTTTCTAAGATGTTTGCGGGTGGTAACAACAAGCTGTTTTCCTGGGAGAGCATTCTTTAACGAATATGCAGCTGAAGTGAAGGAGGGCAGATAATTAAGAGATGAAGGGAAGCTGCTAACCCCCAAGTATCACAAGGAAACAGCACTCAGGGGCCCTTTGAGCTCAACTGGCTCCAAACACCCAGGATACAGAAATATGACAGAAACGGGAAAGCTGTCTTTTGTCTTCGGCATTTCCCCACTTCCATCCACAGGGAATGACCACAGACACTACCAGGTGTGGGAGTCAGCTTAGTTCTTGGACAGCTGTGGCCGCTGCAGAGGCAGTGTGTCGGGGCCTCAGGGCTTGGGCACCAGGGCACCACCCTGTTCCTAACAGCTGTGTGACCTGGCGCAAGCCAGAGAGTCTTTCTGTGTCTTGACTTGCTCGTCTGTGAAATGGAGATAATAGAGCTTTTGTGAGTCTGTTTGGTGGCATTCTGTCTACCATGCACGGCAGGTGCCCAGCCTCCGTCTGACCTCTCTAAATCCACTTTGACCCTGCAATCATCTGTTCTCTCTAGAGCAGCCAGAGGGGGCTTTTGCACATGCAAATCAGGTAATTTTACTCTCATGCTTCCAACTCCTCAGTGGTCAGAAGACAATTCAAACCCTTCCCACAGCCTGTCCTGGCTGAGCCGGCCCAGCCTCCTCCCAGCCCCTTCCTGCTCCTCTGTACGCCTCGCTAGCTGCACTCTGGCTGCTCGGGGCTCTCTTCTCAAGTGGACACTTGTGGCAGACCTCAGAGCTTTTGCTCATGCTGATCCAGTTCCTAGGACGCCTCTGCTGGGCCCTGGAAGAGGTTGCCTTCTTCTCATCCCTCAGCTGTCAGCTCAGACATCACGTTAGAGACCGCCTTGGCCACCACATTACTCCGGCTTCTGATGCTATGTGCATGTCTTCATAACACTCCACATTTGGAATGACTTCTTGATCTTTGGGGGGGGGGGGGAGTTGCTTATGTATTTGTCTGTCTTCCCATTATTATTATCATCATCATCATTATTTGAGATGGTGTCTCACTTTGTCACCCAGGCTGGAGTGCAGTGGCAAAATCTCAGCTCACACTGCCACCTCTGCCTCCTGGGCTCAAGCGATCCTCCCACCTCAGCCTCCTGAGTAGCTGGGGCCACAAGAGCATGCCACCATGCCCAGCTAATTTTTGAATTTTTCGTAGAGACAGGATTACATCATGTTGCCCAGGCTGATCTCAAACCCCTGAGTGAAGCAATCTACCTCCTTGGCCTCCCAAACTGCTGGGATTATAGGCGTGAGCCCCCATGCCCGGCCTCTCTTCCCATTAGATTGCAAACTCCGCAATAGGAGAACTGCAGCTGTTTGCTTCAACAGTGTACACTCACCACCGAGCACAGAACCTGGCATATTGTAAATGCTCAACAAATATTTGTTGAATGAATGAGAAAATGAAACAGTAAAGCATGCCATTTCGTGCACAGCACACTTCCACATGGCCTGGAGCTTTATGTGCTGCAGGCTCCAGCGTCTGTGACGGCACCACACTCTGACTGTCACACAGCCCTCCGTAGGGTTTTCCTATGAAACAGTCCATCAGCCCTGGGAAGCCCCAACATATCACAACATGGCCCAACATGCGACACTATTAGGCCTGGCCTAGATCTGAGACTCAGTCCCAGGGAGCTCTGCCCTGAGCTCTGGACATGTCCCACTGACCACAGGGAGCCTCAAGGAGCCCCAAGCCTTGGCTGGGGTACCATTTGGGCCCCAAGCATCTGAACTCCTAGACCTCAAGTATCGGGTCCTCAGCTAGGGAAGGCCCTGCTCAGCCCGCAGAGGAGAATGGCTGATTCTGAGCACTTAGGGAAGCTGTGAAGGTTGTGGGGTGCAGGGAGCTCTGGAACTCTAAAGAGAGGAGGCCTGGGCTTCTGCTCTGCTGTGTGTCCTTAGGCATGTCACTGCCCCTTTCTGGATTTGCCTTCCTCTGTAAAAGTAAGAGAGCACAAGAAGGCCTCCAGGGGGCACCCGGGTACAGATTAGTACCAACGCCCAGAGAAAGGCCATGCTGCGGGGTCCAGAGTAAGGGAAGACAGAGCCACCACGGGAACCCACGTTACCTGCCTTCTGGGAAGTCTGAAGGGCTCAGAGGGGAAAGTCTCACTGGTGCCTCCTCTCCTGTTGCTCTGTCCCAGGCCCCTTGGACAAGGCCCCACTTTGGTCAAAGATAATTCAGAGAGCCGGGCACGGTGGCTCACACCTGTAATCCCAGCACTTTGGGAGGCCAAGGTGGGTGGATCACGAAGTCAGGAGTTTGTGACCAGCCTGGCCAACATGGTGAAACCCCATCTCTACTAAAAATACTAAAAATTAGCTGGGTGTAGTGGCATGTGCCTGTAATCCCAGCTACTTGGGAGGCTGAGGCAGGAGAATCACTTGAACCCAGGAGGCAGTGGTTGAAGTGAGCCAAGATCGCGCCACTACACTCCAGCCCGGGTGACAGTGTGGAAAAAAAAAAAAAAAGAATAAGTCACAGAATGAGTCACCAGGAGGCAAAGGGTCATGGAAAAGGAAAGTGGGGGTGTCCAGCACCCCCGGTCCTGCCCTTTCCTCCTTGGCTAAGGAACCTAGTGAGTCACAAAATTCCACTGGGGCGGGCTCTGTGCCAAGCTCAGTGATAGCGGGGAGGCTCTGGCTCTGTTCTCATACCCTGCTCTGTGTCCCTGCCTCTTACACACAGACAGACAGACAAGGACAGGCAGATGGCCACAACCCCCACACAGACACAGGCAGACACCCACACAGATACACAGACACCTCATAGACAGGCAGACACAGACAGGACACACACACAGACCTACAAGCCAACAGGTTCACAGGCAAACAACACACACTGGCAGACACACTGTGATGGACACAGAGACAGATACACGCACAGATGCACCGGTACATAGCAGATGGGCCGGTAAATGGACAGACAAGCAGACACAGGCAGACAAGGACAGGCAGATAGCCAAAACATCCAGACTCACAGGTACACGGGCACATAGCAGACAGACAGGTAAACACACTTCAGGAGACCAAGGCAGGTGAATTGCTTGAGCTCAGGAGTTTGAGACCAGCCTGGGCAACACGGTGAAATCCCATCTCTAGTACAAATACAAAAAAATTTAGCTAGGGATGGTGGCGTACGCTTTGTGGGCCTGTAGTTCCAGCTACTCAGGAAGCTGAGGTGAGAGGATTGCTTGAACCCAGGAGGTCAAAGCTGCAGTGATTCGAGATCATGCCACTGCACGCCAGCCTGGGTAACAAAATGAGACCTTGTCTCAGAACAAAACAAAACGAAAGAAACACAGATGATCAGATGTGGACTGACAGACTCAAGCAGAAGCAGAAACACTCCACAAACTCCGCTACTCAATATCCACGTGCATACATGCACACACAGATAACATACCCAGACTACCGAGGGTAGCCTACGGGCTGTGATTTTGGGCAAAAGATAGATCAGATGTCCTTGAGCCAGCCCCCAGCCCCAGAACCATGAAACTGACCCATAAAAGTAGGCACACTGGGCGTGAGCTCTTCTGAAAGAAAGCAGCCTTCATCTCTCACCCTGAGGATATGACATTTACCAATACCAAGGGGCCCGTCTTGCAGTAAGATCAATGAAGCTTAGATAGGAAAAGGGAATTCCCAACCAGGAGTGTGTTGAGACCTGTAGTTGGTGACTAGGGGTAAAGGAGTGGGCTGGTGGCAGGCAGGGAACTTGTGTTCTGGCTGCATGACCTCAGGCAAGTGTGTTCTTCTGAGCCTCAGTTTCCCACCTGGGCTTTGTCCTCCCAAGTCCCTGCAGGGAGCAGATGGACAGCTCCTGGGTGTGTCAGTGCCAGTGCTGGGGCCCCAGGACATCATCCCTCCACCCCCACCACCAGGGCAGCACCCCCTTGGTGACTCACCACCCAGTGGTCCATGGCAGGGGTAACTCAGCCACAGGCGCCATGGTCCTCGGCTCTCTCCCTCCCCCCAGGGGCTGGCCAGCTCAAGATGCCCCTAGGTTTGGGGAGGGATGCAGGGAGGTCAGTGGGAGGGCAAGGGAGTCCCCGATGCCTCCCCAGGGGCCAGCATGTGAGGCTCAGACCTGGGCCTGGGAGGGTTTGTCCAGGTGTAGTCTCTTTTATCCTCTGGCCTGGGCCCAACCTGTTGGAAGAGAGGGCATTGCACAATGAGGAGGTAAAAGGTGACGGCAGACCTGGTGGGACAGAAGCACCATTGTTTGGGTCCCAGGCCAGCCTGGGCAAAGAAAGGTTTATGCCTGGGGCAGGAAGGAGGGGACTCTGCAGGCTGTGCCAGCTGGCAGGCCCTTCCCTTCGGGTCCTTGGAGGGGACAGGTGCTAAGGAGGACACCCTTGGTTTGCTAGAGGGGGAGTGTTGGGCAGGGGGCCACCCCCACACCATGCCCACCTCCCTGAGAGGAGCCACCCAGGGCACCCAAGGATCACACTCCTGGAATTCCAATCATTCCTAGGAGCTGGGGCGGCACCCAAGCCTGGGGGGCACCATGGAGAGGGGTGTGCGTGGCTGTTTTTATTACTGAGGGGTCAGGGGAGGCTTAGAGCCTTTTGCCTCACACGCCCTCCCCATCCTTTTCCAAACTTGTGTCCATAACTCGGAGCTCCGCTGCCCACATCTCCCCTTCACCAGAGCCCCTCAGGTCCACAGGGACGCCCACTGGGAAGTCCTTCCCGGTATCAGACCACAGTCCTTCCTGCTTGGGGTTCCCCTAAGGGAACGGCTTCCACCACGGGAGACCCAGCCGGGACGATCGCGTGCTTGTCGCCTCTCCACCCTGCAAGCCCCACAGCTCCAGTCCCGAGTGGTGGGGTAGTGACTCCAGGTACAAGCCAGCCGGCCCCGCCCTCCCGCCGTCTGGGCGGTGCAGAGGATGGGCGGTACACAACGCACCCCGCCCCCCGCTCCTCTCTTGACTTTGAGTGTCCGGCCGGTCACAGAGCCAGGAGGCGGAGGCGCGCGGGGCAGCCTGGGCCCCAGCCCACACCCTCACCAGGTAGGGACGCTCCCCTGCTCAGAGGGCGGAAGGTGTAGACCGGGAAGAAACAGGAGGAGGGGGCAGGCAGAGGAACCAAGACAGATGGCAGAGAGAGGGACAGTGGAGGGGGACAGAGGGACACAGGAGCAGAAGAGAGGGGGACCCAGAAGACAGAGGAGACAGGAGAGCACAAAGTCAAGGACCCAGTTCAGGGATGGGTCTGCTGGAGGGCAGAGGGGCCCAGGACGGCAGAGAAGACCTTGAGTCCACAGGATGAGTGCTGGGTGGGAGCACCAAGAGTGCCACCACCCCTCATTTCCTTGTCCTTGAAGGTCGCTGCCTAGGTCAGGGAGGGGCTCCGTTTCTGCCCGGTCCCCATCCCCCTGTTGCCAGGACCCACATAGGCTCCTGGGGGCTTGAGGAGAAGAAGCCCGTGTCCTGCCTGGGGACTCAGGAATCGGAATTTCCCTCCGTGCTGGCCCCTCTTGAACTCGCAGCTCCAGGAAACTGGGATACCCGTCTCTGGTATGCCAGGGAGTCTCAGCTGCCCACCATCTCTGCCCCCCAGGGCCCAGGAGCCGCCATGTGGCGATGTCCACTGGGGCTACTGCTGTTGCTGCTGCTGAATGGCCACGTGGCTCTGGGTGCTCAGAAGGGTCGTGGGCGCCGCGAGCTAGCACCGGGTCTGCACCTGCGGGGCATCCGGGACGCGGGAGGCCGGTACTGCCAGGAGCAGGACCTGTGCTGCCGTGGCCGTGCTGACGACTGCGCCCTGCCCTACCTGGGCACCATCTGTTACTGTGACCTCTTCTGCAACCGCACGGTCTCCGACTGCTGCCCTGACTTCTGGGACTTCTGCCTCGGCGTGCCACCCCCTTTTCCCCCAATCCAAGGTGGGCACCAAGATGGCCAGGAGGGCGGGTCGCTTTGTCCACCCCAGGCTCAGCAAGGCTCAGGAGCAAAGCTGGATGCACTGACATTTCCAGGGGAGGCTCTGTCGAATCTGGGACCCTTCCCTGCCCCTCTGGGAAGTCTCTGCTGTGGTCTAACTTGACTCTCTCCAGCAAGAATGGAAGAAGCTCCTTGGTTAGAATTCTAAGTTGGCCCAAAGAAAGGGCAGCCTCCCACATTTTCTCCCAATCCTGTCTCCACTCCAGACACGGAAGGTGCTGGCCGCACCTGCTGACTCACTCTTGGGCTGATAAGTCACGCATGGGTTGAAGAGAGTCATCTTAGACATTTTTCTGCCGCTCCTGCTTGGGAGATGGGTCACTTCTGTTCCTGCCTTCAGCCTCGCTATCACCCTTTTCCATTCACTTGCTCCTGTCCAATGGGAGAATCACTTGCATTCCTTCCCACAGTTCCATGCTGCTTGGGCCCGCAGACTGCATACCTGAGCTGTCATCTCAGAGTGCTGTGTTGTCTTAAGGCAGTCACTTACCTACTCTGGTCCTAACCCTAACTTATTTCAATGGCAAAGAATCCCAGGAATGTTGTGGCTGCATCCAAGTAAAGTGAGAGGGATCCAGGTTGGAATCACTGAAGAACTTCCCAAGTCGCAGATGGTGTGTGACCCTGCAGGAGATGTCTTCACTTACAGTTTGGCTTTCATTTCAATGAGAGCTGGCGTGTGTGTGTGTGTGTGTGCATGTGTCAGACAGAGAGATTGGTGAGCTTGGAAACATTCCTGACCTCAAGGTGCCTGACCTCTGAGGATTTGACCAATCAGCCCGTCGTCTCTGGCTCTAGTTTCACTTCTCTTTCCTTCCGGCAGGATGTATGCATGGAGGTCGCATCTATCCAGTCTTGGGAACCTACTGGGACAACTGTAACCGTTGGTGAGTGTTTGGAGCCCAGAGAGGTCTTGCTTTGGGAGGTTTGTGGCCGACAGACTTGGTTCAAATTCTATCCCTGTGACTCTTTTGCAAGGGAAAGTCTTTACCCTTCTCTGAACCTCAGTTTCCTCATCTGCAACAGAGGAATTTTAACACTGACCAAGTCAACTTATCTCACGTCATTCCAACAGCATTCCTCAAGCATGGCCGGCCACGGGTGCCTGGCCCAAGGGCTGCCCTTGAACTGAGAGTCCTTCCCCACCCGCCCCTACCCTCTGGGCTTGGGCTGGGCTACCCTTCCCAGCTATTCCTGCTGTCACCGCAGAGTCAGAGGGAAAACGGGGCGCCAGGAAGGAAACTTCTGACTGCGGCATCCGCTGCCGCGGGCTGATGAGGGTCAGGGATGGCTGAGCAGGCGGCCAGCCAGCATCTAGCAGGGCCTTCCCTGACATGTGGCTCCTCTTCCCTTCCTCACCCCTCCCCACCATTCCCCGAAGGAGGAGGAAGGGGTCATGGGTATCCCCCTCTTCAGTCTGAGATGGGAAGTGAAGAAGGGCCGGGTAGGAAACCCTGAACACCTTAACAGAAATAATGCGGCTCCTGTGACTTGGAGGAGGAGGCCCTGCACCCACGCCACCCCCACTCCCTCTTTGCCTGGGACTGAGGCCCCAGAGAGAAGGAAACTTTTTGGAATGCATTGCGCAGAAGCTGTTTCCATTGCCTCACTAGGGTGAGGGGTGCCCGGGTCACAGTGAGGGGGGGCGTTTCAGCACGTGTCCGGGTGAGAGCATGTGTGTGTGCAGCATGCTGTGTAAGAGCCGTGCGTGTGTGTGTTCAGAAGGATAAAACACGCTGGATGGCTCTGGACGCTGAGGGGTTAACTCTCTCTCACTCCTGTCCCTGGCCCTTAGGCCTCCTCTGGAATTCCTGGACCTGCTACCACTGGCCCTGTCTGGACCTGTGTGGGCAGCCCTGGGGGCAAAGGAGGAGCAGCCTACTGCCCTCTCCTCTGGACAGCTCTGGGGGGAAGGTGGGGGAGTGTCAGCGTTTCAGAGACCTCAAGGGATGCTTCCAGAGTCTGGTCAGGTGCTGCTGCTAGGCGGCAAAGCGGGGAACAGCCTGGTGTGCAGATGGGGAAAGGAAGGGCGAGGAGCGCCTCCCCAGCCCAGCCCGGCATGGCCCAGCCCGCTGACTCCTCTGGCCCTCCCCAGAAGTGCCCCCGCCGCTGCTCCGGGGCTGGAGAGCGCAGCCATACTGGGTCTTGGCTCCCCTTGAGGCTCCTTAAAAGGCAACATTGGAGGTGGGAGCCTCAGGCGGCTTGGAAGGAGGCAGTTGAGCATCTTGTAATAACAGAGCTATGAGCTTGTACAAGCATTATAGAATTCATAGAATGCAGCCCTTCCGTTCACAACTGCTTATTAAAGACCTTCTGCGTGGCAGGCACTGTGCTGGGCTCATGAGATGGAGCAGAAACGCAACAGACAGTCCTTGTCCCACTTCTAGAGTAAGACGAAGGGGCATGGGAAGACAAATGAGTGTATCCTGACAAGCTGTGCAGTGTTACAGGGGAAAGAGGGGCTAACGGGGTCCCAGTTTAGAGTAGGGAGGGGACGGGAAAGCCACTCTGAGGAAGGGACATTTATGCTGAGACCGGGGAGAAGGACAGAAGAGAGGACAAGAGGCCTGGCCTATGCAGAGGGAGCGGCTTGTGGGAAGGCTGGGAGGTGACTGAGCTCATTTCAGCTGGAGCTGGGGTAGGGGAGAGACACCCAAAAGAGGAGCAGGCCACGTTCCATGGGTCACATCAGCTATGCCCAGGATTCTGCGTTTTGTTCTATGACTCATGGAAAGCCATGGGTAGAGAGCACGCGGTCTGATTTACGTTCCTCTAAGATCTCTCTGGCCTGGGGGTGGGTAGGGAGGGATGGCCGGGAATACTAAAGGGGTAGTGGTCTTGATGAAGAAGCCAGTGCCGTGGTCCAGGTGAGAGGTGAGGAGGGACGGGAGGAGGGAGGCCACAGTGGAGGAGCAGAAGGAGGGAGGCCGCGGTGGAGGGGCGGGGGTAGGGAGGCCACGGCGGAGGGGCGGGAGGCAGGTGGATTCCTGGTACACCATCTCCAAGCCCTGCTGATGGGGGGCATGTGGGCGGACACCGCAGACCACACGGAGCTCTGGCGTGAACGACCGCACGCCATTTTCAGAGCTGAAGATGTTAGGGAAGAGCAGGCTTGGGGGAGGCAGATGGGCTGTTTTGAGTTTGAGGTGCCTTTTGTACATCCAGAGAGGCCAGGTGGTCAGTGGGATGTGAGTCTGAAGCTCTAGAGAAGTGGGGTCTGGGGTTCTTGTAAGGGAACGGTGATGGTAGGTATTAATTCTGAGCGCTTCACGATGGGCCAGGCCTGGTGCAAAATGCTTTACAAGCCTGTCATTGAATCCCTGGAGAGCGGTACCACTGTATTATCCTGATGTTATCGACAAGGGCATTGACAGAGACAAAGTTTGAATGATTCTCCTAAGATCACACCGCTAGTGGGTTAGGAGTGGAATCCAGAATTTGAATTCCAGAACCCATGCTCTCAGTCAATTCAGTATATGGCCTCAGTCATTGACTCAGCCAACAAATATTTATTGGGTGCTTATTATGTGCTAGATTTTGTTTTCCCAGGCGCTGAAAACACCAAACAATACCTGCCCTCAAGGAATTTAGAGCCTATGAGGACACAGGTCTAAACTATATAAACAGGCCAGGCCTGTGGCTCACACCTGAAATCCCAGCACTTTGGGAGGCCAAGGAGGGTGGATTGCTTGAGGCCAGGAATTTGAGACAAGCTGGGACAACATAGCGAAACCCCATCTCTACAAAAAATGCAAAAATTAGCTGGGTGCGGTGGTGCACACCTGTAGTCCCAGCTATTCAGGAGGCTGAGGTGGGAGGACCACGGGAGCCTGAGAGGCAGAGACTGCAGTGAGCCAAGATCACACCACTGCATTCCAGCCGGGGCAACAGAGCAAGACCCTGTCTCAAAAAAAGTAGGGGGTGGTGAGGAGCAGGCAGATTAGTGTGAACCATCAGAAGCCAGCCTAATGGGAGTCTTGGAACCAGAACGAGGAGGAGGGTATCAGGCGACAGGAGGACAGGTCGCGCAGGGCCTTGTCGTCACTAAACTTTGGCTCTTATTCTGTGATGGGAAGCCAGTGGACGGCTTTGGGCAGAGGAACAACATGATATGACTTAGGTTTAGCAGGGTCACTCTGGCAGCTGTGTTAAAAATACCCTGGGAGAGGGGGGCCCGGGGCAGACGCAGGGAGCACCCACAGTGAGGAAGCCACAGCAGGAATTCAGGTGAGAGATGATAGGACTCAAGGGGCTGCAGGAGAGAATGAGGGCGGTTCAGATTTGGGATGCAGTTGTTTTTTTTTAATTAAATTTTATTTTATTTATTTATTTATTTTTTAATGGGATGCGGTTTTAAGGTAGACCCACAGGTTATGTGGATGCACTGGATCAGCATGTGAGAGGAAGCCACCAGGGACTGCCAGGTTTGGGGCCCAAACTCCAGGAAGGATGGAATTCCCATTTCCTGACAACTATGAAGGGAATAGATGTGGGAGGTCAGGAATTCAGTTCAGGGTGTGTTTGGTAGTGATGTTGGGTAGCCATGAGATCCTTGACTCTGGAGTTCAGGCAGAGATCTGGGCCACAGATATAAACTTGAGAATCATGAACTAGACATTGACATTTGAAGCCACCCGGCTGGATGGGATCACCTAGAGACTCTCCCATAGTCGCTGGTACAGAACCCCTGGCCCATGTTAACCTTCGAGGTCATATTCCTTCAGAGGCTCCCCAGCCCCCCACTTACCCTTTCCTTCTCTCCTTTTCTCACCAGCACCTGCCAGGAGAACAGGCAGTGGCAGTGTGACCAAGAGCCATGCCTGGTGGATCCAGACATGATCAACGCCATCAACCAGGGCAACTATGGGTGAGAGGTCCTAGAAGCACCCTCAGTGGGCACACATGCACACACATGCACATACCCACGCATGCCCTGCTGTGGGGCATGTCCAGCAGGGCACCCCTGTACCCAGATTTGATTGTGTGTGCACTCAGCCACTGTGCCTCTCTTCCGCCCACATGTAGTTACTCCCAGGGCCCTGAGCCTTGGCGGATCTGTGACTTCCTTTCATCCCTTCTCCTTCAGGTGGCAGGCTGGGAACCACAGTGCCTTCTGGGGCATGACCCTGGATGAGGGCATTCGCTACCGCCTGGGCACCATCCGCCCATCTTCCTCTGTCATGAACATGCATGAAATTTATGTAAGTCCGTCCTTTCCACAATCCTGCCATCTCCCCATGGCTCAGAACCTCAGGGATGCTGGCCCTGTACCCTGCTCCTCCAAGGGCCTGGACCATCCCCTACTATGAGGCTGTGTGTCTCTGGACAAGTTACTCCCCTTCTCTGGGCCTCTGTTTCTTGCTTCCACAAGATGTGCTTTGCTGGAAGAACTGATGCTCATTTTGAGCTTTGTGGTCCTGGCATCAGCTCCCCCCGATCTCTCCAGCCTGGGAAAAATGTTGTTGGTCTCAGTACAGCTGGGTCAGGGCCCAAGGGGACAGGGGGTCACCTTGGTATTTTGGGAAGGGAAGGAGAGACACTTCTCCAGCTCTGGCCAGAGGGCAGCAGTTCTTGGAAATAAATGCCGATTCAGTGAAACCCCAAGGGAGGAAAGGGCTTCTCCCTTCCCAACAGTGGGACCCTCTGGGAGAGGAATGGGAACCAGGCCCAAAGTGAAAGGGTAAGGAAGAGACGCTTCAGCAGGCCTGGACTAGGACATGCACTGGAGCATCTGTCCATCAGTCGCAGGCAGTGGGGAGGCAAGCTGGCAAGAGTGGCCCTCCCTGCAGAAACTTTGGCCTGGGGTGACCAGACCCTGGCCCTGCCCTTTTTCCCCTGGGCCTCTGGCTATTTTCTGCCTCCTGCTGTTTGTGTTGGCAGCCTGCCTGGTCATGGGACCCTACTGCCTCTTCCCTCCCCTGCCCTTTGAGGCCTGAGCCCAAGGCCTTGGTGGAAAGGCTATGGCCGAACAGAAGGTGCAGAAGAAAGAGGCAGGGGCTGAGAATGGAAAGCCGAGGGACCCGGGCTGGTCACTTGCCTGTGCCTGGCCTCAGCTGCCTCATCTGGAAAGCACGACTAGTCACCCCCACCTGATACCTGGGAGGCACTAAATGGTGCTGCGTTCTTCAACTCAAGTCAAAGTTGGAGGCAGCAGGAGGGTTCCAGATCAAACTTCAGAAGGCCCTGGACTTGGTGGCCCTTCAGCGCCAGTGGACACCTGAGGGGCAGGCCAGAGCAGAACAGGAGGCAGATAGGGCAACCTTTATCTTGCAGACAGTGCTGAACCCAGGGGAGGCGCTTCCCACAGCCTTCGAGGCCTCTGAGAAGTGGCCCAACCTGATTCACGAGCCTCTCGACCAGGGCAACTGTGCAGGCTCCTGGGCCTTCTCCACGGCGGGTAAGCTAAGGGCAAGGGCTGGGGCCTGGGAGAGGAGGGCCAAGTTCTGAGCCTCCTGACGGCCCCTCTGCCTCACCCCACCAGCTGTGGCATCCGATCGCGTCTCTATCCATTCTCTGGGACACATGACACCCGTCCTGTCGCCCCAGAACCTGCTGTCTTGTAACACCCACCACCAGCAGGGCTGCCGCGGCGGGCGTCTCGATGGTGCCTGGTGGTTCCTGCGTCGCCGAGGGTATGCAGCAATGGGGACGTGAGCAGGGAAGAGGGCGAGAAGCTCCATGGGCATGGCCTGGGCCGTGATGCACCAGGTCTTTCTGCCTTTGCCCCCTCTTGCCCTCCAGGGTGGTCTCTGACCATTGCTACCCCTTTTCCGGCCGTGAGCGAGACAAGGCTGGCCCCGCGCCCCCCTGTATGATGCACAGCCGAGCCATGGGTCGGGGCAAGCGCCAGGCCACTGCCCACTGCCCCAACGGCCACGTTAATAACAACAACATCTACCAGGTCACTCCTGCCTACCGCCTCGGCTCCAATGTAAGTCAGCACTTGGGTGAGGAACAGAGGCAGGAGGCTTGGGAAGTGAAAGCCTGGAGTCTCACCCCTGACAGATGCTCTCTGTCCATCCCCTGCCCTCCAGGACACAGAGATCATGAAGGAGCTGATGGAGAATGGCCCTGTCCAAGGTAAATGCCCCTCATCCAGCACCCTGGTTCCAGAAGCTTGTCCCTGCTTGAGACTTGGCACAGCAGCACAAATGGTCTGCACAGCACTCAGCAGCATGTCCAGAGGGGTCCGTAGTGGTGGGACCTCCCCTCCCACAGGCATTGCCTGGAGGGGACACTTAGAGCTTTGGTATGGAGGGGCCCTGGTGCCTGGGCATACCTCAATAGACTCAGGCACCAGTGCCTGTGCCAACAGGCTGAGTGGACCCTACTCTAACATCTGCCCACAGCCCTCATGGAGGTGCATGAGGATTTCTTCCTCTACAAGGGAGGCATCTACAGCCACACGCCAGTGAACCTTGGGAGGCCAGAGAGATACCGCCGGCATGGGACCCACTCAGTCAAGATCACAGGGTGAGGGGCGTGTGGGCAGAGGGGTTGGGGAGAGCAGGGTTTGTGGTAGGGGCTCCGGAGCCTGCCTTGAGTTCTCACAATCTCTCTAAAGAGCCAGGATTGCTCTTACCATTTCAAGAGAGAAAACTGAGACTCAGAAAGAGTAAGGACCTGCCCCGGGTCACACTGAAGGTTGGGAGCCTCTGAAGGTTTTTTAGAACTGTTCCTTCCTGACATTGGGATAAAATAACCCTAGTGAAATACAAAAAGAGACTCAAGCGTTTCTTAACCTCTCCCCACCTCTGCACCTGTCCCAGCTCTGCCTGACCCACCGAGTAACCTGGGAGGTCGCTCCCCTGGCCTCAGTTTCCCTATTTGACTTAGGGAATACAGATATTAGACTCACTGACTTCAGTGAACTCAATGAAATGTGCTTTGCAGTGGGATTTGGGTGTCTCTAAGATACCCATATTCTCAAGAGTGTCTTCCTTCTGGTCCTTGGCATCTACCACTCCCTGAATCCCCAAGCGAGGGAGGGCAGGTGGATGTATGGTTCCACAGAACTGGCCCCAGGAGGCGGGTCTCTGGAGGACCCAGGTTCCTTCCTCTTCTGCTCAACCCCCTCCACTTTTACCCTTGGTGCCCCCCCCCCCCCAGACCCTGGACCTGGGTGCACAGACTTACCAGTGTGAGAGTGAGGGAGGTACAGAGAGGTACAGAGACCTGCCTGAGCCCTGAGGGTGTCCTCAACTCTCCAAAGGCAACTGGGGGCTGGATGGGGCAGGTCTCCCAAGTCGAAGCAACTGAGAGCAGGTAGACCAAGCGCCCTTCCCCTCCCCTGCTCTGCCCACAGATGGGGAGAGGAGACACGGCCAGATGGAAGGAAGCTCAAATACTGGGTGAGGCTTCTGTCCCTTTCCCCGCCCCCTCTTCCCCTTGCCCCACTCCCATTCCCCTTCTCATCACCCCCGTTATTCCCAGACCGCGGCCAACTCCTGGGGCCCAGCCTGGGGCGAGAGGGGTCACTTCCGCATCGTGCGCGGCGTCAATGAGTGTGACATCGAGAGCTTCGTGCTGGGCGTCTGGGGCCGCGTGGGTATGGAGGACATGGGTCATCACTGAGGCTGCGGGCACCACGCAGGGTCCGGCCCGGGATCCAGGCTGAGGGCCGGCAGAAGAGGCCCCCGTGGGGCGGCGCCCCCAGCTTCCCCGACAGAGCCCCGGGCGCAGGCGGGCGCCAGGGAGCTAATCCCGGCATGGGTTCCGCTGACGCAGCGCTCCGCCGGGAGCCGCAGGCAGGCGAGGCTGGAAGCGCCCCCAGACCTCCCAGCGGGGACGGGGCAGGGCCTGGCCTGAGAGGAACACAGCCGCAGATCCCAGGCCCCTGGTGCCCCCGCTCAAGACTACCAAAGCCAGGACACCTCAAGTCTCCAGCCCCACTACCCTATTACACTCCGTTTTTTTTTTTTTTTTTTTTTTTTTTTTTGTTTTTGTTTTTTTCCGAGACAGGATTTCCCTCCGTTGCCCAGGCTGGAGTGCGGTGGCCCATTAGGGCTCACTGTAACCTCCGACTCCTGGTCTCAGGTGAGCCTTCCACCCCAGCCTCCCGAGTAGCTGGGACTACAGGTGCCCCACCATGCCTGGCTAATTTTTGTATTTTTTGTAAAGAGGGGTTCTCACTATGTTGCCCAGGCCGGTCTCGAACTCCTGGACTCAAGCAATCCACCTGCTTCCGCCTCCCAAAGTGCTGGAATTGCAGGCATGAGCCACTGCACCCAGCCCTGTATTCTTATTCTTCAGATATTTATTTTTGTTTTCACAGTTTTAAAATAAAACCATGTATTGATAACTACGGTGTCTTGGAACCTCTGAGAGTGGAAAGCCAAGCCAAAGTTGGAGTGGCAGTGGTTAGACAGCAGAAAGGACTGCCTGAAGCGTTGCTGGTTGACAGAGGTGGGGGACTGGAAATCCTAACTTCATTCAGCCCTAATCGTCAATGCTCTGGGGGCTGACCCACTTGGGGGAGGGCATGGATGGCATGGCCTTTGGCCCTAGGGAGAAATCTCAACCGTGGGAACTGCCTTTCAGACGCTGAGTCAGCTGCCGCCTGAAGGGGGAGCCCTGCCCTCCTATCAGCTGAATCAGTGCCAGGGCCCAGCAGGCAAGGGGGGCACAGCCCACAGAAGCTGGAGCCTCTGTCTCTGTAGATCAGCCTCTCCAAGCTGCCCAGGCAAGGGGGCCCTCTTCTCCCCCTGCTCTTGGGCCAAGTGGAGCCTGCTTCCCATCCCACCTCCCCAGGCTCCCAGTGCCAGCACAATAAGCCAGGCCTCAGCCTGGCTCCAAGGCCATCAGGACCCACCCAGCCACCCTCATCACCTGCTCCTTGCTGCCTCTCAAATGCCCAGTTCACATGCAGAACCCAGGCATTTGCACGCCTGCTCCCTGGTACAGAGGCCCTTCCATGCCACCCACCCCTTGTCCCACTCCAGGTATCCTCCTTCTAGACAGTGCCTGTGAAGGACCACTGACATGCCAGGGGCTGTGCAAGGAGCCCAGGCCACCCCTCCCTTGCTCTGCTTGCCCCGGCTGGAATGCAGTGGTGTAATCTCGGCTCGTTGCAGTCTCTGCCTCCCAGGCTCAAGTGGTCCTCCCACTTCAGCCTCCTGAATAGCTGGGACTGCAGGTGTGCACCACCACACCCACTAATTTTTGCATTTTTTTGTAGAGATGGGGTTTCACTATGTTGTCCAGGCTGGTCAGATATCTGGGATCTACTGATCTCCCCCCTTATGCTGAAGTTTCTAGAAGTCAGGGATGGTCTGGTTCATTAGTGGGTCCTGGTACCCACACTGAAACCCTGGTATAGGGTGGCCCGGCAGTGTGTGGAATGACTGAGTGGAAATGGCCCATTCCTTCACCTCCACGCCCCTCCCAAGCCTCCGCTGTGTCTCTCTGGGCACAGATGCCAGGCTGGTGCTCCTTCCTTTCTGGGAGCCCAAGGGCCTGTGCCTAGGAGGGGGATCCCCAAATGCAAGGAATCCTCCCTGCCCCACCTCCAGCCAGTGGGCAGCCGGAGTTGCAGAGGGACTGCGGCAGGGAGGTCCCCCGGGGCCCCTGGCAGCCCCTCAGGACCGCCGTGTCCCCCGGGCCTCCCTGGCATCACCTGAGAAGAACGCGGGCACCCGATAAGCGGCCGCCTTTGTCCTGCTTCCTGTTTGCCGGAACGTCCCGAGCCCGACTCCCGGGTCCCGCCCGCCAGTCCTCAGGGAGCCAAGGCCGGCGGGGAGCCCCGAGGGGCGGCGGTTCCTCCGCACCCGCTCCGTGGCCTCGGGACGCGCCCCGCTGGAAAAACCCCGCTGGAATTTTCTACGTAGCCTCCCGAGGAAGCTCTGCGGGGCGGGGACAGGAGGGGAACTGGGGTGCGGCCGCCGGTCTCAAGGCTCCGGCTCTAGCCCCGCCGCCCTGGCCCTGCGGACCCGTGTTGTTACCAGAAAGAGGTCCCGATCCAGACCCCAAGAGAGGGTTCTTGGATCTCGTGCAAAAAAGACTTGGAGGTAAATCCCTACAGTAAAGAGAAAGCAAGTTTATTAGGAAAGTGAAGGAATAAAGAATGGCTACTGTACTCCATAGAGCAGCCCCAGGGGCCGCTGGTGTCCCATGTTTGTGGTTATTTCTTGATGATACACTACACAGGCGTGGATTATTCATCTCACCCCTTTTTAGAGCATATAGGGTCACTTCCTGACATTGCCATGACACTTGTAAACTGTCATGGCACCGGTGGGAGTGTGGAGCGAGGAGGACCCGAGGTCACTCTTGTGCCATCGTGATATTGGTGGGTTTGGGCCGGCTTCTTTAAGGCAGCCTGTTTTACCAGCAAGATCTTCATGACCTGTATCTTGTGCCGACCTCCTGTCTCATCCTGTGCCTTAGAATGCCTGGCTGTCTGGGAATGCAGCCCAGTAGGTCTCAGCCTTATTTTACCCAGCCCCTATTCAAGATGGAGTTGATGTGGTTCAAACGCCTCTGACAGTGTGGGGTCAGCCTGGCCCCTCCTTAGCCTTGTTCCTGGGGCCAGCGAGCCCAGGCCCACCTGGGCCAGTCCTGCAGTGGGCGAGGGTGCAGACGGGGCTGGAGAGGCCCTAGCTTCCACCACCAGCCTCCCGAAGCCACCCCTGCGCCTCCAATGTCGGGCATGGGTGTGTTGTTATAAAGAGCAAGGCTTACTTCAAGCGCCCCAACCTGATTACTGCCCCTGAATCTGCCCCTAAAGAAATCCTGGCATCGAAACCCCTTGCTGTGTGTCCTCGGGCCGGTCCTTCCCTTTCCCAGGGCCAAGGGTGTGGGATGTTAGACAGAGCTGGGTTTGAAGCCCTGCTCTGTTCAGCTGTGTGTATGATTGGACAGGTTTTTCCGTCTTTAACGGAGGACAGTGGTAGTCACCTACCTCCTGGGGTTAGTGGGAGGATTAAATGAGACAAAACATGCTAAGCATTTAGCTCAGTGCTTGGAACTCATTAAGGGCTTAAGAAATGGTAACAGCAACAGCTATGATCGTTTTAAGAGATTGGACCTGATAACGTAAAGGCTTTTCATAAGGAGCTAAACATTCATTGAATGCTTAGCCATAGGTTTCTGCCAGCATGTTGTTCTGAATGCCTTTCATACATTGTCTCATTTAAGCCCCCAAAAATAAAAATAAAAAAATGAAAAACTATCTCCAGAAGCATAGAGATTAGCAACTAAGTTGCTGAATGTCATACAATTAATAATTGAGGTAGGATTCAAACCCAGGCCACCTAAATCCTCACACTCATCAGCTCTGTATTAAGATTAATAGTGATATTCCAGTGTCCTTCCCCAAGACCTTTCCCTGTCTGGCAAGCTCTTATTCGGCCTTCAAACCCCGGCTCAAATGTTCCTCCTCTGGAAAGCCTTTCCTGACACCCATCTTCTGGATCTTCGGGGACCCCTGCATACACACCTGGCACAAAGGGAGTATCTGTGAACAACTCCTCCTACAGAGGGATGGAGCAGCGATTTTTTTTTTTTTTCCAGCTCCATTCTTTCCTAGCCACCAAATGTTTCACTTATTCTGGCCTCCTGTGGGGCTCTGCAGGGGTCCCAAGGCACCTGACTCTAATCTCCCAGGGGCTGCTGAGTGACATCATTTCACAAGTGCTGATGCCTCACTTCTTCCTGGGATCTGGCAAAACCCCCATCCCTGCTTGGTGCCCATTAAGGGAAAGGAATTCATGCTTACCGAGCCTGCAGCGAGCCACACTTTGGGCTATGTGCTTCACTTACTTCAACTCCTTCTGTCACACCCACAGCCCTGGGAGGAAGTGTTTGCCTAGAAACCCAATGTCAATCAGTGAGACGACTCTCAGAATCCAGGGGATGGATGAGCCTCCAAATTGTAAGGACAAATGGGCCCAGGCACAGCTGGAACCAGGGACCCAAAACTGCCAGGACACACCCTCTCTGTCTCTGTCTCACTCTGTCTCTCTTTTCTCTCCCTTTCTCTCTACTAACTCTGCCATGAGGAAGAATTTGCGGCGGGTGACAACTCCCGAGCCTCCCAATCCACAGCCATTTTCTCAGTTCTGATTCAAAACAGAGAAGTCTTTTGATCGGCCTGGGTCCAGTCAGGTGTTCCACCTGTGGGACAGTCACCCGTGGCCGAGAAAGACGGTCATGGAAAACATGACAGCCCTTGCTGAGCCAGTGTTTGAGGGATGAGGAGATCCTCAAAGAAGGAGGATCTAAGGGAAAGGAGAAATGCCAAACAGATTGAGGTAGGAGGCGAAACTGAATTCCAGGGGTGGGGCTCGGACACCAGACCACACCGAAGACTAGCTAAAATCGGGGAGCGAAAGCAGCTTTCAATCAGACACAGCTACCAGTGTGCTATGTCAATTTACACTGTTGCCATGGCAACACCTGGGACTTACCGCCCCTTTCCATGGCTATGACCCAATGATCACTACCCCTTCCCTAGAAATTTCTGCATAAACTGCCCTCAGGATTTGAAGAGAGAGCTTCAGATCCTTGAGAGCGCCCTCAGGATTTGAAGCTGCCGTGAAAGGGACTTACCACCCCTTTCCATGGCTATGACCCAATGATTACTACCCCTTCAGGGAGGGGACGTGACTTGTCAAGTCACACTGCTGGTAAGCGCTGGAGCTAGATGCAGACCCTGCTCTATGAAAATCCGGGGCTCTGACACCAACACCCGAGGCAGTACCTTTCCAAAGTAAAGCAAGGCTGAGTCTGAAGAGGACTTCCAGGGAAGTATCCTGCTTCTTGCTCCAGGGGGCTACAGTCTGGCTCCCACCAAGGGATGGGATGAGGTGGTAAACCAAATAAGCCAGTGGGAGAATCAGAGAGGTGGGTGCCAGGGAGCCATGCTGAAGATACACACTGTAGGTAAGGGCTGCTATTACCTCCTTTTCACAGGGAGTAGACTGTAGTGGGGGTAGGGTGGGGCTGGGGGAAGGCGAAGTGACCTTAGGACACACTGCTAGGAAGTCGTGGGGAACCTCATTAAAGCCGAAGCTTTTTCTAAGCTGTGTCTGGGTATATACACAGCCGTTCTTCAACTTGTACCCAAGCAGGCTCTTTGGCCTCTAATTCTGTGCACAGAGGCCTGGATTTGAAGTTTGGGGCTTGCAGAAGTTGGTGATCAAGGTGCAGCTGAGGGGAGGGGCAGTGGTGGGGGTTATGTATCACTCAGGTGGCTTGGCCTGGGGCTGCAGGGAGGGGCTAGGGTCTGCAGAGTGCAAGCTGAATCACTGCTTATCTTGTAAAGTCAAGTTCAAAAGCCTTCTCTGAGAAGGCTTTTTTTCC